ATAAAATTCACTCAACCGGGTTCAGAGCAATAGTTATGTCATTTATATATAAGTTGAAAAGAAAGCAGCTTAATACAGATCCCTGAGGGAGATTAGTCTGCAGGACAAAACTCATAGGTACTTTAATCCCAATACAGACTCTATAGAAACAATGGCCAATAAAAGAACGAATTCGGTTTAAGGTATTGTTTTCATTACCAAGATCAGTAAGCTTAAGAGATAACGTCTTTTTTCATATCATATCATACCCTGATTTAAAATCAACATAAACAGCCTTTAAGACATTTCTGGAGATTTTGGAGACAATTCTGGCGAACTAATATTACGAAAAGGTGGTCATCGAGCTTACGAAACGTTGTTTGAAGCATGTATATGAAACTGATTGGGAAAAATCTGTTTCTTTTATCTTTCTTAAAATAAATAAGCATCACAATATTTCTTGTATATAATTAGTATCCAAATGCTATAAATAGCGCTTATACTCAGACATATGTAAAAGTTTCCGTTGTAAGTTTTTCATTAATAGTGCATGTGTAGAGAGACAGCACGTCTTTATTTCAAATTTAATGGCTGAATAAAATCGCAATTTTGCTCTTTTTTCTCGGCTTTATTTGACCTTTTATTAAGAGACAATTTGTTTTCATTTTTACATTGAAACACCATTCTTCGGTTTGTTTCTACGGGGTCGTCTGTACTGTTTAATGTTGTATTATGGGCAATATTTGAGACTTGATTAAATAAATGTGGATAACGCTTCTTTTTATTAAATTTTAAACCAGTTAAAAAGCTGTTTACTACACACCAGCCTTCTCTAAAGAAAATAAAAGGCACATTAAAGGAAAGTTAAAGCTATTTTTGAGATTTAAAAGCGAAATTCCTTATGTTAGAATGGGGAATAAAGCATGTACTCAATCTCAATGACTTTAGACAATCGCTGTTTGGACTGACACTGCTAAAGTTAGAGGTAAGCCTCATGGAGAAGATTTACGAAGCATTTTAGGTACTTACCCATTGTTTATATATAAAATCTTTTAACATAACTTTCTACTTCCTACAATAGATAACGTAATTGAAACATTTCCAAGAAATCAGCTAAGTTCCATGCAGTCTGTCTTAAAAATACAGAGACATTTACAACAAAAATTATTCAAAAATACCATTTTTACTTCATATGTAATTAGCTAATCTTTAGTTTCATTTTCAAGTGCCTCAGTAATATATAATTTTCGAATAAAAAGAAAATTTAGTTTAATTGATTCAAATGTTTTAACACAGTCTTGTTAAACCTAACAAAAAATTGTTTATTATACTAGAGGGAAAAGTATTCTAATATTTAATTTCCTAATAAAAATGCTGTACACATGATGACATTAAATCATCATTTCCGTAGCAAATGTAGCAAAGGGGTTGAAAATATCTGCATTATACGCAGGGAATTTAAAACAAGCTGTAAAGATTTTAATTATTTATTTTTAATTAGTTTTCGAACTTTAGCTAGAAAAATACTCAAAAGTTACTTGTAAAGTATAAGACGGATTCTTCTGAAATATCAGGCAATCGATAAATTACCTTGAATATTCCATACATACCATTTAATCTTATTTATACATCCACTTATTTACTACATTTATGTTATTAATTTTAAATTTTAGTTACTTTCAGCATACCAGAAAGAAAATTGAAGACGTTAAGGAAAACCATTTACCATTTAAAACTTGGTGAAATGAGTTTACAAGTCAGATACATTCTTAGGAAAAAAAATATTTTTTAGAATGGATTTCAATAAATTATACTTTGAATACCATAAATAGCAATAAAATATTTTAAATAAATACTTTTTTACCAAAATTCAAAATAATTCAAGGATCGCATCTAACGCTGTAATACTTCATTTGAATAAAATGTTAATTTTTATTTTTTAAAAAATACATACTTTTCATTTAGGCTTTATTGCGTATGTTCAGAGAATACATCGAAGTGCGCAGCAGATTGCACTCCTTCAATTCCTTCGGCTAATCAAATGCACCGAAATCTAAATATACGAGGGCTATCCAGAAAGTAGATTACGTTTTGGAATAAAAAAATAAACAAAGTATAGGAAACAAATTTTATTATATACAGATGAAAGCCACACTCAAATACTACTTTTCTACATAGTCACCATACAAATTAAGGCATTTATCGTAGCGATCATCAGCTTGGAAATTCCTTCGTCGAAAAATTCGGCCGCCTGCGCCTTCAACCACTTCGTTACCTCTTCTTGCCTTCCATCTTGCACAAAACTTGTGGTAACCAAGCTTTTCGCTGATGATTTCGTGCAACAAACTTCGCGAAATTTGTGGAAAACTCAAAGAAAGTTCCGTTATTGTGAAATTTCGATTTTCACGGACTTTAGCATCGACTTTTTCGAGAAGTTCGGCGGTCACTATGCTGGGTCTCCCACTTCGATCTTCGTCGTGAACATTGGTTCGGCCATTTTGAAATCTTATGACCCACTGACGCACTCCACCTTCAGTGATATGTTGTCCCCATACACTTCACGAAGCTGCCGATAGATTTCTATCGGTTTACAGTTTTTTGCAGTCAGAAACCTTATTACTGAGCGCACCTCGCAGCTCGCGGGATTTTCAATTAACGCAGACATTTCAAACCGTCACAGTATCTGAACGGAGCACAGCACGAACCTCTCACTAGCACGGCTAGATGCAGACTGAGCTGCGCAACGCTCTGACCCCAAGATGGCCGCGCTAGCCCCGCCCCTAGCGGACACATTTTTACCAATTATTATTTTCATTTTTACCAATGGTTAATATTCTTCTATGTTTTGATTTTTTCTATCACTTCATCTCGTGCGACATTTCGAAATAAGAAAACACTGATTATATAACTTCTGGTCAGATTAGAGCAATTAATTCTGTCAGTTAATGGGAAAATATATGCAATAAATTTAGTTCGCGATCGTGAAGGCCTTATAATACATGTAACAGAGTCGTGACTGCATGTTTTTTCACCTAACGCAAACAAATGGTGCGCCCCTATGCTCTGTATTTTTTTTTGTGGGGGGGGACGAAAAATATATACGTGTGTGCGTATATATATATATAAACATATCGTAATTCTTGAAAAATTGATCTCTTTAAATTTATCAGTGCCAGGACATGAATCTTCTCATTATTTGAAACATTCTTGTAACTGGAAATACATAACTTCGGCCAAAAGTTGCTGTAATAAAGGGTGAGTAAGGACACATTGTATATACACTTGCGTGCAGAATTTAGAAAATTTGCGAATTATGTCTATTTTTACGACAAATCTTGGACCAAAGGTACCAGTGATGCGGCAGAGGAATTATGCTAATATTCAGAGTCGAATACGTAAGCGTATACATACACCTGCGCGAAGCTGTAGTTGTAAAGAGCATGTAAGTGGACGAGGGGTTTTCGGCTATTTGTGTGCTCGTGATCCTTCATAACACTGACCATGCTTTTAGCAAGAATTGATTAAATTTTATAAAGAATCATGTAAAACGAGTAACTATGACCGTATGGGTGACGGAATGAGTATATAATTGACAGTAGATTAAAGGCAGAAGATTGAGAAACGCAGGTGGTTACAGAATGGAAAGTCCCGGTTTATCTGCAGTTTGCGGAAACAGTGAATTCATATCCAAAGAACCTAGACAAGTTCAATCAAGATCCACAACGACGAATGAGTATTGTTATTGAGCACTTTCAGCTCGGTGACACAAGATTGCTACAACTTCCCTGATCTCACTTAAGCTTTATTCTGCCTCTGAAACTCGAGTTTGATTTTCCATAGCAGCCTGAAGTTTTTGAGATTGGGTTATGTGCCAGAAGAACCGCTGTTTGCGTTCTCACTGCAGCACACAAAAGGGAGTGTTTAGCATGGTGCAACATTCACCTTATACCAGATTTCAGTCGAGCAATATTACGTACCCCTTTCACGGCACCATTGTTTAATAACTTGAATTGTAAAGGTACCATTGGAAAGTGAGGGTACCTGAAATAAATCGGTAATATCGTTTCTTTTCTTTAATTCAGTAAAAAAATTTCAGATAGAAAATCAAATTAAAATCAGACTCTCAAATCATAAATTTCAAAAAAAAGATATTTTTAAACATTCTAAATCTTTCACTTCAATATAGTCTACATCGGCGGTCCTGTTCGGGCGCCAAAAAATTTATATCGCAATTCATAAGATTCAAAGATAAGCAATAAAAGAAAGGTTGCTTACCTTTATGATCCGTTTTCTTCGATTCTGGTCCGCCGCTTTAGTAGACTCCGATTTGGTTCCAAACTCATCTAAAATTGGCACTATTTTGTATGAATCACTTTATTTGACATTTGACATAAAAGAGGAACAATATCTAAATCATTACACTATCAAAAAATACTTCTAACTACTTAGCATCATTGTTCTACATATCTAACAGCGTCATTAGTCTACTGCGTCACTGTTCTAAAAGCATACACTTATCGTTGCCAGTTCGAGCTCGTATTTCTTTCCTCTATTCATAACAAATACACCCCAAGTTTCTTCATTCTTAATCCAGTACAATGTGTTCCTTGAATCTGTCCAATAAAACGTAGGTATATTTTCTTGCTTCAAATCTTGTTTTATAGATTTCATTAATCTTGCACCAACAACACAAGCTAATAATTCTAGTCTACAAATTGATGTGGGTTTTAGAGGAGAAACTCTAGATCGTGCTTGAACTAAATGACAAGAAACTTCATTTTCATTTCTTAAATAAACGCAGGTTGCATATGCCATTCGGGATGCATCACAAAATATATGAAAGGATAATTTCAATTCAGAATCAATATTAAGCATCATCTGTCGAGGAATTTTTATTTCTGTTAAACGATTTGCATCATTTTTCCATTTCATGTATTTCCTTTGAATTTCTTCAGGAAGAGCTTCATCCCAAGTTACTTTTAATTCCCAGCAGTTTTGTAACAGAATTTTAGGAATTAAAATTATAGGGCAGGTGAATCAATAGGGTCATAAATTTTATGAATTTCAGACAAAATTGTTCTTTTAGTAACAGGTTTGTTTTTTGATTCATTTAATCCCTTAATATCACAACTTAATGTGTCATCATGCAAATTCCAAAGAAGTCCCAAAATGTTGACCGTTTTAGCTTCACAAGGATCATCGAAAAACTCATTCTCATTTAATTTATCAAGCTTCGACTGTTCTAAAATGGGTTCAACAACAAATGCATCCCTTTTATTTCGAGGATAGTTATATGCCCACTCTTGTAATTCAAATTTAGCACTTGCCAAAATTTCAGTGGCATCATTTTTTAACTTCTTTAATTCTGATTCATCATTCACACTTGTAACTAAATTATCAACGTACCAGGATTCTACTAATTTATTAGCACTCGCACGATAATTTTCTGGTACTTCATTCATTAATTTCGTTAGTGTTGCATTTAAGAGAAATGGACTGCTGGTTATTCCAAAGACCACTCTTCTATGCCTGTATATTTTCAAACGCTCAGAATTTCCCTGTTCCCACCATAAAAATCTTAAATAATCTCTGTCTTTAGGATTAAGTGCTATCTGCAGAAAAGCCTTCTTAATATCAGCGCTCACGCCAATTTTTCCCAGTCGAAATCTATTTATTATAGCTGGAACAGTATCAATCAAATTTGGACCCTTTTCCAAACAGTCATTTATGGAAGGTGATCCTTTAGTTCTTATGGATCCATTGAAAACCGGTTTTATTTTTGTCGTGGTGGAATTCATTCGAATAACAGCACGATGGGGTAAATAATGAGAGGGGTTATTAACTTCTTCCTCAGGAACAATCTCTATTATTTTATCATCTTCCCAAGATTTAAAAATTGCGTCATAATCTTCTAAAAATCCCCCATCCCTTAAATTCTTCACTGTGCTCTTTAATCTCTTTTCTGCTATTTCTCGATAGTTTGGAAGTAGGGAATGATTTTCAATCCAAGGTAAACAAACTTGAAACCTTCCTTCTTCATCTCTTTTCACATTGGAAAGAAAATGTGTCATTGTTTGTTTTTCTAATTCCCTTTTAGTTTGACTTTCTGAAGGATCTAATATCCCAAGAGTATCAAGTTTCCATAAATCAGAAATTTTACTATCTGATACTAACATAGAAAATGCATAAGAACAATCATATTTATTTTCCATTTCTACGGGAATTTTCCCCATGATACTCCAGCCTAAATAAGTTTCAATGCAAACTAATCCACATTCTAACTTCTTTATTTTCCCTGTAAGCAATTTTCCCGCTATGTCTGCGCCTATGAGGATATGAATTTCAGAAGAGAATGCTCGAACAACAATTTTTTATGCCTACCTTCAACATCATTCAAAAATATGTTATGGGTTTTTAACTCATTTAAATAAGGCTTGATGTTCAATTGTGGAATATCAGAACAAATATTCGCTTGATCAAAAGCTTTGAAGTTACACTGATAATCGTTTTTGATACTACTTAAACGTACAACGAACTGTTTATGAGTTTCAACCACTTCAGTTCCTCCGAACAGACTATGAATCACACTGCTTTCGTTAATACATTCGTACTGCATAGCATTAGCTAAGAATTTAGATACATAGCTTCGTTGACTCCCAGAATCAATTAAACAGCGGCAGTATTTTTCTGGACCATTGCCACGCACTCTTTACAACTAAAGTTTGTAATAAAACTTTCTCTAAACATGATTTGTTCGTCAAATTGAGATCCTTCTTATTTGATTTTTTCTCATCTAAACTATTTCTGTCACAGATTAAACTGTTGTGTTTCCACCCACATGAATCACACTTTATCTTCGAAAAGCAATTTTTTGCCAAATGGTTACCCCTTTTAAGGCATAAATAACACATTCCGAATTTCCGAAGTGACGCCTTTCTGTCTGTTACATACTTCGGGCCAGCTTCGAAAGTATGTTTTTTTTTTTTTTTTTTTTTTTTTTTTGAATCCTCGCAAAATATGCAGCTGTTAATTGAAACCTTTAACACAGCAGCCGTTGGAATAGAAATTATTTTTATTCTTTTTTCTTTAGGAAAGTGGCTCGAATTATGGTTGTTTATTTTATCTTGAATTTGTAGCATGGATTCGAGGCACTCAATTTCCGTTTTCAAGAACTCTAATAATTCGTTTACATCGAAATTATCTTTCGATTTCTTTTTTCTTTGGAAATCAAGATTCAGTTCTTTCGGAATTAATTTTAATAAATCTGGTGTCAATAACGTGCCATATGTGCCAGAAGTTACATTAAGTGATTTTAAACTTCTTATCTGTATTTCGATATCATCATACAACTTACGTAATGCAAATATGTTGTTAGCATTCCTAACAGGTTCTAAACTTAACAGTTTTCCCATATGTGCATTTATAATTAAATCTGATCGACCAAAGCGTGTTTTAAGTAACTCGATTGCGACAAAATAATTTTCACTTGATAATGCAAAACCACTAACAGCATTACAAGCAGCACCTGATAAAAATGATAACAAATAATTAAATTTGTCTGTATCTGTTAAATCACTATTCTGATGTATCACATTGTCAAACTGGTTCCAAAATGATAACCAATTAACAGGATCGCCATTAAATTTATTGATCGATAATTTAATAGTTCATCGATAATTTAATAGTAATATAATTTAGGCAATTTAATTTTTGAATGAGATACAGAAATATTTGAAATATCATTATTCACAATATTACCAATTGTATTCGAAACAGGAATTTCAGGTTTCCTATTCTCTTTCAACATAAATGTTAGTTTTGATTTCATGGAAATTATTTTCTCGGAATAAACTTCACAAGGTTCAAATTCCGATTCATATTCAATAGCCTCAATTAATTCTTGTATTTGTTTATCTAATTCTTTTAGGCTGTTATATTTTGAATCTAATAAATCAATATTTTCATTAAGAATACACAAATTGTGTTCTGTTTCTTGGAGGTATTCTTTACAATTATTTATCAACTTTGTTGTCATACTCCTAACTACAGTTCGTCTTTTCTTTAATTCTTCTATTTTAGTAAACGTGTTTAAATATTTCAGATAGAAAATATTTCAAATTAAAAATCAGTACTCTCAAATCATAAATAAACTTCTCAAATCAAAAGGAGATATTTTTTAAACATTCCTAAATCTTTCACTTCAATATAGTCTACATCGGCGGTCCCTGTTCGGGCGCCAAAAAATTTATATCGTTTCAATTCAGTAAAAAACAGATCATTCAAATTCTAGATAAGCAAATGAAGAAAGGTTGCTTACCTTTATGATCCGCTTTCTTCGATTCTGGTCCGCCGCTTTTGTAGACTCCGATTTGGTTCCAAACTCATCTAAAATTGGCACTATTTTGTATGAATCACTTTATTTGACATTTGACACAAAAGAGGAACAATATATAAAGCATTACACTATCAAGAAAACACTTCTAACTACTTAGCATCATTGTTCTACATATCTAACAGTGTCATTAGTCTACTGCGTCACTGTTCTAAAAGCATACACTTATCGTTGCCAGTTCTCAAAAAACAAACTTTCTTTTTCAATTCTCGTCGGTCTGGAGGCTCAATCCGTTCCCAAAGAGCGGAGCGTGCGTCGTTCGCGACAGGTACTACAAAATAGTATCATTCAAATATCACTACCAGTATTACTCAAATAAATAATTAAGTTTACACATTTTTGTAACCTTAATTAACACCGAATATAGGGAACGTAGCGTTGTGATAATTTCTTTGCTGGGTTCGTGCCTGTTAAATAGCCAAACGCTAAAATACGTGAAATTCTCACATTAAAGTAAGACATATAGTAGCATATCGGTGACAAACGTACTAAAGTATATCAAACGACCATTAAATCAATGAACCTATTGCAAACAAGGCGTCATATGTATCAAAAGTTATAATAAAATAAACAATAGACAAACTCAGTTCAGCTCACACATGTACGATTTATAAGTTTAAATTTTGATTTATCACACATTATCTTACACTAGGAAAAATATTTCATTAAGCATTTTTATCAGCAATGTTTTCCCGTTAATTCGAATTCCCGATAGTACGACTTGTCCGGAAGCATTTTTTAGGTGTTACTTAGATGAAAGCCAGGCGAAAAGTGACAAGCTTGACTTGACTTGCGTCGAATGGAAAGAGAGTGACAGCGCGCGAAAGCGCTTGAACTTTATTGAAGGAGAACACGTACTCATGCCCCCCGAGCAAGATAATACAATAAGAATGTTCTCGAACATCTATGACTCGTTAAAGATTGCCAGCTCTTCTGATTTTCTTCACATGCGAAATATTTCTTTTTGTTACTATTTTTCAATTCGAAATTAACAGAAAAAATTAACATTGAAGCACTGGTTCTCCGATAAGAATTTAGTGAAATAAAATCCCTATTATCAAATAATAAAGAAACACAATTTACTACATAACAGCACCGTGCGTTTTAGAGACGAGTCAAGGTTCAGCCTGGACACTGATTCAAGACTTCGCTGAATCTGGAGAGAATCTGAAATAAGATACCACCCCTCCTTCATCAGGGAAACTGATCATTACCGAGTTGGAGGTGTAATGGTTTGGAAAGGTATTATACTGGACAGCCGGCCACCTATGCATATGTTTGACAAAGGTTCCCTGACTAGTATGAGGTATACAGAACAGATCGTAGAACACTATTTTCGACTTTTCAGTGCCAAATTTTCCTGGATTCCTGTTAATGAATGACAACGCTCGCTGGCACAGGGCATAGCTGGTCGAAATTACCTCGAAATTGAGGATATTGGCCGCATGTTTGACCAACCAGATCTCCTGACCTTAACCCCATAAAGCATGCCTGGGACGTTCTTAGCAGGGCTATTTAATCTCGGCATCCCCCTCCGAGAACCATCCCGAAGTTGAACTCATCCCGATGTGATAGAGCAACATACCTTCTTTTATACTTTCTTTTAGATTTCAGTACGCTATCACAACGTGGATTTTTAACATCCGTGCACTATTAGCTTTGCACTGATATTCATGGGTACATAAAATAGGATCTACTGCCACAAGGACTCCACAACTGCCTCCTGTCCATTATGCGGTCACACTGTGCGACCTGCCTGGCTGTGATGGGGCAACATATCTCCTTTTAGATTTTCAGTTCGCTATCACAGCGAGGATTTTGAACATTCCTGCACTATAAACTTTACTGATAGTCATACGTACATAAAAAGGACTTTTTCTAAGTCATCTCCTTTTCTGTTATAAATATGCATTTATACCAAATTTCATTAAAATCTATCCGCTAGTTTTTCAGAAATTCGATATAATGTGCAAATTTTCTTAATTTTACACTCGAATGCATGTGTGTAGTTTTCGATTAGAGGTTATATACTTAAGATTACATGAAAAATTCTAGATCTATATGCTCACATATTTCTGACTCAAACGCGAGCTGTTTCATAACTTTCTAGAATATCTAAAGTCTCCTTCAGAACAAAATTTCTATCTAAATTTTCATAATAATGTTCAAAAATTTCAATTCCCTCTTTTTAACTTTTTATAGTATTCTAAAACTATTAAACAGAACAATTCTGCCAAGCATGAAAGACCATATGCCCAAAATACTACCCACTTTATTCGCGAGGCCTCCGATCACTCCAGAAACATTAAGATAGCACTGCTTGGACCAATATCAACTTTGGGGAACTTTGAATATCACTGTTTTGATTTTCTATACAGAATGTAGTGAACAGGATTTAACGTTTGCTTCAAAACTGAAAATTAAAGCTCTCCTACAGCTATTTTGATTTAAAATGCTTCTGGAGAAATGAAAAGTATTTGAAAAATTAGCGGAATATTTTTTGCCAAATTTTACTGCAGAAAGGAACTTTCAGATCCAAGATCTTAACTGTATATTTCATTTACAAAATATAGTTTGAAACTTTTCAATAAATAAGAGTGTATTCATAAAACTGTATACTTAAATTCCTTTTTTTAAAACGCAGTTTTCCAATTTTGGTTTAATTAGAAACTTTTAATATTACATATAAAATGTTTTCCCACATTTTTTATTTTTAATACGTGGATTTGAAACATTCAATTTTCTAAGGATTCGAGAAACTTTTACGAATCGGATTCAAGAAAATAATAATTAACGTTTACTTTTCATTGCTTTATCAGATCATTAAATCTCAAAACCTGC